TCCACACTTGCATATTTGCAATGAATACAACGTTATTTAGGTTGTAAATTTGCAAGTATGATTTGAGAAGCTACCAGCAGTGAAGCAACCGAATTCTCAATTTTTTTTTTATTATTTTCATCGATATGAATCGAATTGGCAAATAACGTAATACCGCAATTTTCCCATTTTTCCCATTAGACGAAGTCATATTGTGGAGTAGAAAGTTTGTTACAAATTTAAAAAAAAATACTACTTTACTCTGGCGAAAGCAAACATTTTTAAGGGAATTATTTTTAAATAATTTTTTTCTTAACAAATAACATTCGTAAGGTAAATATAAAATAATGATTATTCAAAAAATCTATTTAAGAAGGTCAACTATAAAGTTTAAAAGATTTCACATTACCTGTCATTCACTATGACGCACAACGAAAGTGCACCTATGAGTGACTGTCGATTTTTTTTATTTTTCATTTGAGTGACTTAATTTTACACACTGACTTACTTCACTTTATTTTTTTGATATTAGTTTATTTTATTTAATTTTTTTTATTTACCTTAATTTGTCTATTTTTATTTTATTTTATTTTACATTGTTTTATCTTTTTTATTTTATTTTAATTTATCTTACTTACTTTTCCTTTTTTTATTTTTAATTATATTTTGATTCACTTTATTTAATTTACTTATTTTATATTTCTTTATTTTATATTTTTTATTTTATTTTGGTTAATTTATTTAAGCTCCTTATTTTTTTTTTTGGTTTTTTTTTTAAATTTTTTTTTCGTTATTTATAAATTTTTTATATTAATTTATTCTATTTTTTTTAATTTATTTTATATATTAATTTTATTTTGATAAATTTTTTTTTTTATTTATTTCATTTTTTTCTTTATTTATTAATTTTATATTTTATTTCATATTATTCTATTTATTCGATTTAAGCATAGTTCATTATCTGACCTTTGATGTTATTCTTTTTTATGTTATTTGATTGTGTTTTGTTTTATATTCTTTTAATTTTTATTTTATTTTATTCTTTTTTTATTTTACTTAAGTAATTTATATTAATTTAATATATTTAATTTTAATTTTTTTCATTAGTTTTTTTATTTAATTGTTTTTATTTTATTTTTTTTTTATTATTTTATTTTATTCTATTATATTTTATTTCATTTTCCTTTGTTTCAATTTATTTTATTCTGTTTTTTTTCACTTGTTTATTTTATTTCATTTTCTTTTAATCCATATTATTGTAACCGCTAATGCGATTTTTCGGCCGAGCTCTTCCTCTAATTTGTGGTTTTGCGTCTTTATGTTTTTCCAGTTTATACTAAGCCGCATCCGAACGGCTGATGGTTTTTTACGAGGAGCCTATATTTCATGTCCTAAATACACTCGGAAGTGTGAACATTCCCTGCCGAGGGGCGACCGTAATTAGAACACTTAACTTAATTTTTTTTTATTTTATCTTAATTTATTTTATTTTATTTAACTTACTTTTTCATATATTTTACCTTTTAATTTATTTTAATTCAATTTATTTAATCATTTTATTTTTTAATCACTTTGTTTTATTTTTTATAATATTTTATATTTTATTTTTAATTTAATTTGTTTTCTTTTAATTTTTTTCTTTTATTTTATTTTTTTGTATCATTCTTTTCATTAATTTTTATTTTGGTATGCTTAATTTAATTGTATCTTATTATTTTGTTTTAATTTAATATCATTTTATTTTTTTTTATTTTATTTAAGTTGTATTATTTATTTTATTTTGTAAAATTTAATTTATTTTAATTAATTTTATTTTATTTTATTTCCTCTAATTTTAAATTTTATTTTTTTTATTTCATTTTTTTATTTAATAGCATGTATTTCTTTGATTTTATTTATTTTTTATTTTAAATCAATTTTCTACAAACACGAAAACCACTCTAATTAGGGAATTCTTGTATCGACTTAAATATCTTACCACCATTTTCGCAAACTTTTAAATATGGCAAACGAAGCCAAATAGTTTACGGGGATTAAATATACAACTACCACTCATTATATGAAAAAGAACAAAAGAATTAACTTTAACCGTTTTAAGAAATACTTGCTTTACCTACAGTAGCTTACATAATAATAAATAAATACATGCATGGTTTCTTTTAATTGCTTTTAAATCGGCTGATTAAATTATGTGCATTTGCTATCCATTTAAAAATTCTTGATCGTCTTACAATAAAAGAATACGCTTATAATTTACCAACAACAATCGCGTACGATGAACCGATCCATTTTTTTTTTATAGATTTCGAAGAGTTGGTTGCCTTTCGAAACTATTCAACCGTATTGAACAAATGTAAACAAATAAACAGACTTACTCATTACTTGTCTATAAACCGGCACTTAAGACACACTTAGCCGATTTAGTATATGTACTGTGTATTAATATATGTTTGTATGTATGTGTTCGTAAGTGTAAAAATTTGTTTGCCATTTTCATCAACTTCATTCGTGGACATTTAGCCAATATTACGCTTTTGAAGTGTCACTTTTGACGTACGAGTATACGTCAACTAATGTATATGTATGTGTATATGTATGCATGTATGTATGTGCAATATTTGCAAATACTTTTGTGCAAATAAAAAAGTAATAAAACACTTGCTATTTTACACCGTTAACTCAATTAGTACATTGGCACTCTGCCGAATAAGTATTGTATATTTGAGCGGGAATATAAACGATTGTAGTTGTTGCTGCTGTTGTTACGGTTGTTATTGTAGCTTTTTCCGTTGTTGTAAGTGGTGCAATGCCATTAAAGAAAATATTTGAAACTTGGCGCCAAAGCGTGATGGCCTCGAAAACATTTAATTATTAAGACGGCTTACCGGTAGTACATGTACATTAGGGTTAACCTTATTTTTTTGGCAAAAATTGTAGCTAAGCACAGAAGCCTGCTTGTCCTGTATGCCGCATACGACTGCTGTTGCCACAAAATCACGGAGCTGCAACCAAACGCTCAAAGCATTAACCGGCAGCACTTGGAGCAAAGACAAAGAAATGTTGCTGGTAACAACAGGCCGCGGTCTTGCGATGTAGATGAAGAAGCTACAATTACTTGACTACAAGGACTGCATTCAGCTCCACTAACCGCTCGAAAGAACAGCTTGTCGACAAGATTTAAACGCTTGCTAACTCCTACTGAAACTCTCTTCCAGAGAACTGAATTATCGAAGTCAAAACACCACCCATTGTAGACGAAGAGCTCGAGTTGCCTCGAGAGTCCCGCATAATACTGTAACCTCCTCTTTGCATGTCCCTTAAAACCTTTTCTATCCTCCTTTTCCACTGGTCCTTTGGAAGATATCTATAAACTGCTAACAACCAATTATTAATCTTGGAAATATTGTTTACAAAAAAAATTGTCTTCGAATAAACAGTAAAAAAAACGTTGGTTGCCATGACAACGGTGTAAGTTAAGTAATTTGTTTTGATAGATATCGAGGGTACTCGATAGATCCCTTTCAAAAAAAGAATTTCCATCTGTCCCATCTTCCCACATAAAGAGACCAAGAGGCCAATCCTACCAGTCTGCAAGGCGGAGTAAAAAAATAATCAGCCAGAAAATGTCACGGAAAGTTCGATAATAAAAGGTTCCCAAGCAGATCACATGAGGCCGAGCGTTGTCATCTTACAAATTCACCTCAGTCATTTCAGACTGTTTTCACGCAATTTACGACTCAAAGGCATTTGTTTTAGTCGATGATGTTTCACATCCATGATTTTGGTTGGTTTTAGTAAATCATAGTGGATCGAATGTGTTTGGTCCCAACATATGCCGAGCTTTGACCTTTGAACCATGAATGTTTTTCTTTTGCGTCGATGTAGATGATGATGGAGCGGGTTAACCAGGCTTGGCATAGTAATTTTTCTTCTTGAGATCAGCGTAGTATATCCACTTTTCATTTTCGACTAGCCGTACAGAGGCGAAAAATCACCCTACGATACCTCTCGTCTTCAACTCGTACGGCATCCGATCTCCATGCGAGGGAATAACTCCCAATAGCTTTAACCGAACGAAAATTGTTTGCTGAGTCGCTCTCAATAATTCTGTGAGTTCAGCTTACATTTGACATGGAAAGTCTCCAATTCCACATCTTCCAAATTTTTAAGCTTGCCATGATTCTCTTTATCTTCGACGCTAAAATCAACACTTTTGAAGCGAGAAAACCATGCACCATAAAATCTCACAAGTATTCGATGAGCTTCAGGTGGACTTTTCTTCCTATTCAAATAGGAAATAAAAACTTTCCGCAAATCCGGATATTTTTGAAGGAGCCAAAAACCATCTTGTCGTCAGAAACAGACGCGTGTCCACTAATTATTGTGAAACATTTTCTATGAAATAGGTACTCCCTTCCAAGATCGGCCACAACGACCAATTTGAACAATTTGAACTTCCAAACAAAAAATTCCAAAATCCTTTTTTTTTTATACCTGAAATAACTTAATCTGCAAGGCCTTATTCTGTTAATAGCAACCCCAATGTAAATACATCACTTTTAATTAATTACGCTGCCAAAACGACAAAACCAAATGCCTGTTTCTAATTGAGTGGTTCCGCTAACGGATTAAGTTATTAACACAATTACCAGACGAACACAGCGAGATGACCATCTACGTTGATCTCATTACCTGATTAGCCTAATCAATCAAGCGGCCAGCGAACATACGTAAACGCAACGCTCACGAGTGGCGAAGTAGCGAACAAATGTCAAAAGTAATTGGCGTCTTGTCTTTGGTGGTCATTGCTCAAGCCGCCAGTTGTCGGAATGTCAATAAAAAAACGCAACAATTTTTAAATAATTTTACATATCTACTTATCTACATATATGTGCATGTATGTATGTGTACATGCACTTATACCAGTGTCCACCTTAAGACTTAGTTCATTTTGCCATAAACCGCCATAAAAAGAAACAGCATAAATATCGAAAATTTACAAATTAATTTCCATTTTACAGTTACATACATTTTTGCCGTTATAAACAACTTGAATACCAGCTGTCAGCATTGGAGCAATGAAACGATTTATAACTGCCGCCAAGCTCTTGATCTTCACGGCCGCAATCACCGGCTGGTGGTCCATTGATGTCGTGGCCGAGTCCTCGACCTTGCAGACGGCCAAGCAATGGAAGTTGTTCACCTACAACTTCCTACCGCATGCACCGATACACGATTTGAATTTCTATAATCCATCCAATGTGCTAGCAACCGGTATTGCCGTCTCACACGACCGGATTTTCATAGCTACGCCGAAATTGTTCTCTGGCGTCTCGTCGACCATCAATGTGGTGTCGAAGGCAGAATTTGGCGATTCGCCGGTGCTGCAGGTGTGTGATTTAAAGAAAAAAAGCAATTAACGAAACCAAAAATCTAATAGATATAAACAAACAAATACACACATTCTCACACGTTTTTGTATTTGTTTTTTATTTAACTTCATTTCAGGCCTACCCAGACTGGACATTCTCTACCACCGGTCGCACAGATTTTAATTGCAGCGATTTGGTGTTGGTCTCTGTATATCGCATGCGTATCGATTCGTGCAATCGCTTGTGGCTTCTAGATGCTGGTGTGTCGCGTTCGCTCGAAGACTACGAAATCACTTGTCCGCCAAAGATTTTAATTGTTGACTTGAATACCGATCAGGTGGTGCGTCGTGTGGACTTTCCCAAGGAAATTCTTCGTGGCGAGTCTCTGTTTACGAATTTAGTCATTGACGAGACGACCTCCAAACTTGGCAACTGTGACGATGTATTTGCGTACATATCAGACACTGTGGAACCGGGTGAGTGTAGAAAACTGACTTTTGAAGACTTCAAGGAAGAGACTAAGAGAATCTGGAGTATGACGACGTTTTTTCTGATTTCATTTCTATGCTCTGAAGCCGCCTCTGGTTTCTCATAGGTGTTGGCAAAGATTCCGGAAAGAGGTGCCAAATACTATCCTTTAGAATCAGCTAAATGAAGAACAAGAAAAATTATGAGAGTGTTCGATATAGGATTAGCTCTCAAAACTTCATATACTTTTCGGAATACCCTCCTGAAGATTAACCTGAAGATCTTCAAGCAATAGCTATCAAGTAATGCTGTCTTATGTCGAAAATCTATACCCTTTCCTCGTCATTTTATCTACAGAGCAAGTCTTCTTCACAGCTCAGCACTAGTGAAGCACTCAAAAACAGAACAGAAATCTGCTCGAAGATAATAGATTAAAATACTTTTGATTCTTAGAATCTTTCGCTATTGAATTCAGTGCACAGAAAAGCTGAGGATACTTAAAACATAGGAAGAATTTTATTCCATTCTTCGCCTAGCTCTTACTCAACCAAACAAAAACTATTAAAAAGGAGAATCTCAATCCCGAATTCACTTTTTCATGATTTCGTTTGTGTTTATGCCGAAGATCCCAATTCCCACACCCAATGTACGTTTCGCTGCTACCAAAGAACCAAAGAGACTTAAGATAAGTTTGCCGAATTTTCATTGAGCTTACCAAGTATGTAACTATCCAAAGAATCTAACAAATCTGATCCAAGTAAGTTCAGAATATAGCTTGATCTTTCAGTTAAAGAGCTTTTTTTCGGACAATTCTAGATTTTTAGTACACCTGCATCATTTCTTCATAGTGTCGAAATCGAAAATGTTTAGCCAAAGCTTTGGGGCTAATAGGAAGAGGGTGTTTAGAAGTAGACAAGATGGTTGTAAATGATGCCCTAGAATTTATTCATCGAGCCGTAAACTCTATATTAAATATTAGCGGAGGTGAGGTATGAAAAATTCATTTCTTATGAAGAGAATTTATTTGAACGCTTTGACTTCTGAAAATTTGTGGAGCGAGGAGGACCTCCGTGAAATTTTTGGAACTCCTGGTTGCCTGCTAACATTTAAGCGTGCAATAATGCAGGCGATCGAGTATGAACTAGCCACCCTGTTTCGGGCGGAATGTATTGAGCTCTTTGTCTCTTCAGGCATGTTGAAGTGAGAGAGAGTTCAGAATGGTTCAGCCATTCTTAGTGCAAGCAACCATCGAAGCATGCAATAATGCAAGTCTTCAAATATGTACCAATCATCCCGAGTTTATCATCTCACTATACTATGATTTTGTTGTTTTACTGTCCACCTGAGAATTTCATTTATGAAGGATACATGGGTATACACCCCAAAGTACGATAGCGAGATTGGGCGTGGGGTGATGCTAGCTCAAACATATTTATTTTATTCCTCCTAACCACGTTATTTTTCTGTACTTTCAGGCATTATCGTCTACGATAGTGGTCGCGATGTTACATGGCGTGTATCACACCCGGCTATGTACCCCGATCCAGATTTTGCACAGTCCGAGATTTTGAACGATCGCTTTATATTGATGGATGGCGTTGTGGGCTTGGCATTCGATCCCAAATTGGGTGTGTTATACTTCCAGCCATTGGCAACGGATCGGTAAGTAAAATTCATTGTTTTTTATGAAATAAATATTTGTAAATTATTATATTTTTCCCCTCTCTCATCTTTCGTTGCTCTCACAGTCTATTCTCCGTCACTAAGGAAGTGTTACGTGCCGGTCCCCTCGCACAAAACGAAATTCTCAAAGTAAAATTAGTCGGCAAGAAGTCATCACAGGGCATCGGTCTTACCATTTCACCCATCGATGGTAGCGTTTTATTCAGTCCCTTAACTGAAACCGCCATAGCTGCATGGACGCCAAGTAATAATAATCAAATTGTGCTTGCGCACGATCGTGATCGTTTACAATTTGTGGCTGACATGACAACAACACCACATGAACCGGGCGTTGTCTATGCTGTCTCTTCAAAATTCCATCGTTTCTTTTTGAAAAACCTGAATCATAATGAGATTAACAACCGAATCTTACGTTTGCCATTAATCGGCGAATACGGCACAACGCACAGCTCCAGCGCTCCGACCATCGCTTTGCAGACGATCAACAAAGCCTCCAACTATTACGGTAGTCCGTATAAAACGAATGCTCTGCATAAAACGAATGTCGTTAGTTTTGGCAATTATGTCTATAATGGCCTACAAGGACCGACGAAGTCGCAGACACCATACAATTATGAAACTGTGGGACTAATCAATTTCTCCGCACGCAATCCATTCACCGCACTAAATGCGGGCGAGAACTTCCCGCCACGCAAAGAGCAGCGTTCAAACGATCTGCGACCCTCCTATCTGGATAGCTTGAATAGCAGTGAAGGCGTACTGGCAGGTCGTGGGCTGCGTTATCTCATACCGACCACCACATCTCCCGCCACACACAGCAGCTTACACACGTCGGTGTTGCCTTTTGGTTCCGATTATACACTGCGTCGTCATTTACGTAATACCGAAGGTCAGCTGGTAACCGAGAAAGCTGAGTCGTCAACAGCAGCTATTAAGGGCTAACAGTAAACAGCTGCTGAAGTGATGTGAAGTTTAAAGTCAAAATTTGTGTGCCTCAATAATTTATATGCTTGTACTTACATAGTATGTATAGTATGTGCATGTAGTACATATTCTCTATTTATTGGGAACAGTACCGGGTGCTGGGTACAGCTTTTTTCTGGGGGATGTTGCTGAGAAACGTAATTTATGTACAATGTGTGTATGTATGCATGTTAAATTTATTAGTTTATTTAGTAAAACTTTATATTTTATTGTTTTGAGTGTGTGCATGTGTGTGTGAAATCGCACACAAACACATGCAAGGGAAGCATATATCCATGTACATAAATTAAATGAATATATATATATATACGTAAATATGTGTTTAGAAATTAATTAATTCAAGAAGTCACAGACCATAGCAATCATTTATTATAACTGTATGATATATGTATGTATTGTAAATATATATTGACTAATAAAATTAATTATTATATGCCAAACATGTGTAACTAATATTTTGATTGCTAGATTTAATTACATACAATACATGACGCTTTATAACCGCTAAACCGATTGGCGGCCAAGCTTCTTTTCTCAAGGCTGTGGTGCGTCGGTGCTAAGATAATTAGAAAAATTTATTATTATGACTTTTTTCTATAATTTTGAATGTCGCTCTGGTGAGGACTCGAACCCATGACCCAGCGCATGATTGGACACTCTATTAACCAGTCGGCTGCCTGATAGATTTAATTACTTGGATTGAAAATAATTTTGATTTGCGTCGATCAATTACACATACATATTTATTATTTTATATATTTTGTTTTTGTTAGAATGGTTTAATTTTATATTGTATATGGCATTGAGCATATTATTTTCTAAGTAGCCATTGCTATGGCAATAAATTTAGTTTTTCTAACAATTTAAGTTTCCGTTTTCTAATTCTGATGAAAATTCGACAAACAGGCGCATAAAAAACGATGTAGAATAAAAAAAGGGCTTCTTTTTAGTTATATAGAACTTAGCTTAACTTCGGCTAAGAAAATAGTCATACCCTGGCAAAGTACAAGGAATGAATACCTAAAATTTAATCACGTCTAAGGAATAGTACTTTCAGTACTCGTCAAAAAGAACATTAAAAAGTAATGCACAATGATCACTTTTATAGTCCGACAAGACGCTCGATCGTGTCTTCTTATCGCCCAAAAGTCGATTGTCCTATTTTATGTTCGAGTTTTATTTATTATTATTTTATTTATTCTTAAGTACTTGAAGGAGAAGAGTTGATTTAACCAAGTCTGTACGCCTACTACATCTTCGCTCTTAGCCTTTTACCCCTTGGGTAAAAAATTTGCCGAAAAATCATCCAAGAGCGTAAAATTTACTATTCTACGCATTTGAAATTAAATAAATATTGACCCTGAAAGACATCTCAATTGAAAAACTTTAACATATTGCTCTCTCTAACCAATTTTTAAGGTAAGAGAATCAATATTAACTCCTCAATTGGAATAGCATAATTTGATGTTGTTTTATTTTATTTTATTTCTTTTATTCTGTTTTATATTTTTGAACGTTTTTTCTTTTATTTTTGTTTATTTTATTTTTCCTATTTATTTCATTTATTTTTATTTCCTTATTTTATCTTTTATTTTTTTATTTTACTTAATTAATTTATTTATTTTATTTTGTTATACGTTACTTCTTTTATTTTATTTTATTTTATTTTATCTTATATTTTATAACTTATTTATTTAACTTTATTCTGTTCTATTCTTTTTTATTTAACTTTATCTAAGGTTATATTATTTTTTTTTTATTTAATTTTATTTTAAAACACTTTATTTTATTTTGTTTCAAATAATTATATTATTTTATTATATATATTTTATATTAATTTATTTTAATAATTTTGACTTTTTAATTTTTTAAACCATTTTAATTTTATAATTCCAATGTGGTTTATTTTAATTTTATTTTATCTTATCTTATTTTATTTTATTTTTGTAATTATTTTTTTAATTTATTTAGTTTATATTTACTTTTTTATTTGATATGATTTTGTATTTTCTCAAGATATTTATTTTATTTCTTTTGAGTTTTTTATTTATTTCTTATTATAATTAATTATTAATTATTATTTTATCTTATTTTATTATATTTTACTTTATTTATTTAATTTTATTCCATTCTTTTCTTTCTTATTCAACTTTATCTTAGTTGAATTTTTTTTTTATTTTATCTGTTTGGTTTTATATTATTTTATTTTATTTTATTTTATTTTATCTTCCCTCTATCGGTTGCCGAGTGGTTAGCATTATGTCGAAAAGATATGGAAAATTAATTTCGGAAGTTAATGTCCACCTCTCCGAGTGTTTTTCGGACATGAAATAAAATCTCCATAAAAAACCATCTGCCGTTTGGAGGTGGCTTAGTATAAACTAATAATTGGAGGAGAAGATCGGCTGAAAAATCGCCTCATATATATATTGAGTTAATTTGTTTCATTTTTAATTTCATTTTAATTAATCTAGTTGATTTTAGATATATTTTTTTTGTTTTACATTTTTGCATATCTTATTTTATTTCATTTTATTTTATTTTATTTATTTCATTTTTATATTTACTTTTATTTGTTTCGTTTTATTTAATTTTTTTTTCATTTTACTTTATTTATTCCATTTTTATATTTATTTTTAATTTTTTAGTTTTATTTTATTTTTTTCATTTTATTTTATTTAGCTTTTTATGAGGTAAATTTATTTCTATATCCATTCATTTTATATTATTTTTTGTATTTTACTATTTATTTCCTTTATTGAATTTTTTTTATTTGATTTTAATATAATTTATTTATTTTACTTTATTTGTTTTCTAAGAGGTTCAAATTCCTCCCATTCCATTCCACAAAATCTCCCTTATATGCTTTAATCCCATTGTCATATTATTCAATCTTGCAATCAGTCAAACTGTCATATAGCGGCTTATATCTGATGAATATATTCAATAAATGTTAATTTAATGGCATTAAAGATAATCCCTTCAGATTAGCAATGTCATTTCTTATGTATAATAAATTAATATAACATTAAATAATTATTATATCCAATCATCTTCATACAGAAAAAAATTACTTATTCAAACGTAATAGCAGCTAAAAAATAATTGCAATTGGAATTTATGTATGTATGTTTGTTTTTTGATTGATGCAATTGATTATTATTTTTTAATGTATTGTAATTAAAAATAAAACAAGTTAAGAGCATTCCAGCCATTTAAAATTAAAAAAAAGCAAGTTGATTAATGTCTTAATTTGTAGTGCTTTCCTAATGTGAAAATTACAAATACAGATATAATTATGGTCATATTTAACATTTTTCGAATTTCTTTCACATTTCACTATTGCGCCTGATTAAAAAATATTTTGTACGTTTAAAAACTAGTTAAATAATACAGTGTGATATACACTTAGTATTTTTTATTAAATTAGAAATAAATAGAGTTGCATTTACATATCCGAGTGACGAACGAGACATGAAAGAAAGTGACGCATTGGGAGTTTTGTTGCGCCGAATATTTTCGAACAATTTGGGGAAACCCCTTTAACGCCTTAGTAAGTACATATTGCATATTAATGTCTGTGTGAATCATAATGATATTCCTATGAATGCGTGCATGCAAATTACTTACGTCTAATAACTCAACTGTACGAAATTTCTTAATTGAAAATAATAATTAAAAAAAGCAATTAAATATAACACTTTGTGTCTACTAAATATTTTCGTAATATTTTTACACATTTTATTTTGACGGATAATAATGTAGAAATACCGTAATTAATAAACAAACGATACGAAGTAGATATGGAATTCGCCCATAAATTTAATTTACTCTTATTAAAGAAATAAATATCAATTTTTATTTTGTTGTTTTTCTTTTTTATTTTAAAACTGTCAAGTTTGTCAAATAATTTATAACCTAAACACACAAACTCACAGCTTAAGCCGGTTGAAGGGAGATCGCAATGGTTGTTGCTGGGCTGCTGCTAAGAAAATCCTAGCTACAGCTTCATACGTATTTATGTAAACGCTCGTATGAACGTATGCTGTTTGTAGCAAAACAAATAAATATGTAAAATAAAAAAAATAAAAAATACACACACACGCAAAAACACAATACAATGACAACGCACATAAAACGACCTTCAACCCGCGTCGCCACTTCCCTCTAGCTGGTAGTATTAGAACAAGCTCGGTGTGGAGTAACATTTTAGCGAACCTGTACTCGCAGCTGCGTTTCACTAAAGAAGCGTCATGTTCAGAAAAATGTCACACACACATATATAAGAGGTGTGTTAAAAAAGCATGAGAATTTCTTAATTTTGCTGGGTTGAAGAGTTCGATTGACATTTTTTTTATTATGCTGGCTTACATGCCCTTGAAGTATGATACAATTTTCAGCTGTTCTCAGTCACAAATGCTCGGCGACTTTCCTTTGTCAAAAGAAATGGACCGAAAAAGTCTTTCTACCTTTCTGAACTAATCTATTGTATAGAGGGTTTATGATATATGTATATGATAGCCTTGCGGTTTCGCTGATTTTCGGCACCAATGTGTTATTCGTTATTATCATATGCTTAGAAGATTTGTTGACAATTTTTTTACCCAAAATCTCAAACATGAAAAATCGGTTGCATATAGATATGTTGTAGTGGTTCGATCTTGAAAAAACTAAAAAACTGAGGGACTAGTGTCCGTACGAACAGGCGTACCAGACTAAATCAATTCAACTCATCATTCTGACTCGATCGGTATAAGTTTTGATGGGTATATTTCTTGCACTCTTGGTGCTGACATACTTTTGACCAGTTCTGGTACATGAAAGATATAAGAATTGAGCAAAGTATGTGAAATGTTATCAAATCAAGAACATAAAGATAATGGCATATCAATTAGATCATGTAACGAAATTGTATCCAATGTTTTGAGTATGAAACGCGTGGCAGTGAAATTTGTTCAAAATTTCCAAATCTTCTCTTCTTCTTTATAAGCGTTGGCACCGCTTACGCGATTATAGCCGAATTAATTATAGCCCGCTATTCATCCCTTTTTTGCGCTGTTTAGCACCAGTTGGAACTATCCAGTGAGGCCAGGTAACTTTCCAACTGATCCTTCCAACGGAGCTGAAGTGTTTACCTTCATTTGGACGGCATCATCTAGCCAGCGATGCTGCTGTCTCCTCAATATCATCGTATAGCTCGTGCAGCTCATCGTTTCATCG